GCCAGGACAAAACACCCAGCCTTGGCCATAGGTACCGCTGGGCCAGGAGGGTCAGAGCTTGGGGAGAACCGACTCAGTGCCACACGCTGCCTGTTAGGAGGGTCATCCTCACACCAACTCCCTGAAGAAGACGTGCAGCCACCACAGTTCACAAATGAGGAGACTGAGGCACCCACAGTTCCCTCACCTGAGTGAGGGAAGCAAGACTCACCAGCTGGCCTCGCCCTCGACTCCAGAGCTTGAGTTAGATTCCCCCAGGAAAGTGGGCCATGGCAGGAGAGGGCCGCTGCCAGCAGGGCCTTGAGATCAGAGCCCTCAAAGAGAGGAGGGCAGAGAGCATGGAGAAGGTGTGACATCCACTAGCCTTGAGGGACTGAGCACTCCAAGGATGGGGGAACCCCCTTGAGGGGGTACCACAGAAGCTTTACTCAGAAGTGCCAGCAATACCTCTCTGAAAATAAACCCAGTGTGGTGCCAGGGCTTGGTGAGGCTCAGGGCTGACACTGCCAGACTTGGCCCTGTGTCCCCGGGTCTCCCTATATGTGCACTTGTGAACCCAAAAACCCACCTGCCAATGACGGCAGCTGCAGGCCTTTCTGTAAGGATGTATCAGTCTGTTTTTTACAATTCCTCAGTCTACAACTTTATAAAGAAAAGAGGTTCGTTTGCCCCTAGTTCTGGAGACTCAGGGTCCAAGCTATGGAGGCTCCTGTGTCTGGGCCCCTCGTCAAGGCCTGACAACCAGTGCAATTTAACAGCAGCCTTTGTGGTAGGAAGTGATCACAGATCAAAAGGGGCAGCCAGAGAGACTGGAACCCCCTAGGACCCCCAGGCATGTCTCCAATGACCTAAAGACTTTGCCCAGGCCTCGCCTCTTAAAGGTGCCATACCACCTTTCTGCACTGTCACGGGAAACCAAGCTCAACACATGAACCTCAGGAAGACGCACTCCAACCACATCCAAACTGCTGCAAGGGGGCTGCAGCATGGAGAAAAGATGATCTGGGAGTGAAGAGAGCCAGAATCTCAAGAGAAAAACAAAGAACAGAGTCCAGTTCAATCAAGCGGATGTCTGACATGAGACTCTATCATGTGTCGGGGGCCACTCCACTGACAGTTAAAGCCCTCTGTAGAAATTCAAATCCAGTCCACAAGAAAATCCCACCCTACCCTGGCTTAGGTGAAAGCTGACAGCATCAAGTGTTGGTGAGATGCGGAGGCACAGACACTCCAGCAGTGCTGGTAACAAGGAAATGGTGGGGCCCCTGGAAGCCGCCTTGCATTTCCCTGTGTGGTCAGACACATGCTTGTCCCAGCCGTGAATGCTCCGATGCTGTGGTGGTTACCAAGACCAGTGGAAACCTGTCCCAGAGCCGCGCAAGTGCTGTTAGCCGTGCTGTCACGGCCACCTTGAGGTCCCAGACTGATTTAAAACCTTCACCTTTCATTATCATTTTGACTTTGGGGAAGAGCCAGAACTGTTCTGTGCCAGACCCTGAGAATAAAGCAGAAGAGGATGAAACCTGCCTCCCTATCGGGTGGCACTTGGCAGCAGCATCGCTGTGTTTCTTTGTTACATTGCATAAAGACACGGACGAAAGAGGCGTTCAGGACTCCTCCTGAAGGATGGGATAAGTGTGATCACAGCAAGGGGAGTACTGTGAAGGAGGTCAGTGGCAAGGTGCCTGCTTTTTTTTGTACTGGGATCAAACTCACAACCTCATGCTTGCCAGGCAGGCACTGAGCTACATCCCCAGGCCAGCAATGTGTCTTTCACTGGAATTTCTACAAATGTAAACATTCACAATATATCTTGATCATGATATATTTAGTTAAGAATGTCTAATGCCGCTTTATTCATAACAGCCCAAGACTAGAACTGACCTTGCTGCCCATCAACAGGATAAGAGATAATGTTGTAAACTATGCGTGGAGTGGATTACCACAGTAGGGAGAAGCTGCAGATGCACCGAGTAACAACACAGATGAATTCGGGGCCGTTTCGCTGAGTAAAGGGAGCCGGACACAACAGACAGCAGAGCTCTGGGACAGCAGAGCTCATCTACAGCCAGTGCAGAGCACGGAGGCCCAGGGCCGGGGCTGGGAGCACTGCAGCTGACTCGGACAGGCAGGGGTGCCTCGGAGATGAGGGGCGAGCTCTGCGTCCTCGCCAAGGTGGCCGTCAGTCAAAATTCATCACGGTGTACACTTTAGAAATGGCGCACTGGGGGCTGGGGATTTAGCTCAGTGGCATAAGCGCCTGCCTTGAAAGCAGGCAGTCGTGAGTTCGATCCCTGGTACCGATAAAAATGAAAAAAAAAAAAAAAAAAAAAAAAAAACACACACAAAAAAAGAAATGGCGCACTGTGTTGAATGTCAGTTCCACCCCCACAGAGACAGTCTTTTGAAAAGTCCTCTGACGCTCAGGTTAACCCTGAGACCCCGCCCTTCCCTGCCTTGACTTGCCCTCCTCTGAGGCGCCCAGGCTCCTGCCCACTCCCTTTCCCCCTGCCGGCCGTGCTCCCAGGCTGCAGTGCAGCCAACACCAGACTGAGCCACCAGGGGCCTGGCCCTTTCAGAGTGACCTCCCCGCCTCCCGTCAGCACAGGAGGCTGCCTTAGCTCTCTGAAGAACATGTGCCACCACTGCCCGGTCTGCCCTCTTGGCGAGTCAGTTCTGGGAATGCAGGGGCCATATCACCACTGTGGATTATCTGTCCACGACCAAAGAAGAGGCAGGTCCAGGGGAGTGACAAGGAAGTAACTTCACAGAAGCACATCGAGCCGCAGCATGCTGGCCATGGGAGACGGGGTGGGGGCATGCGGGGCCCTGAGATGTGGGCAGCCCCTCCCTGCAGTGTTCACTTGCACGGCCTCCCCAGGAGAGCCAGGAATGCTCACAAACACGGACAGTCCCGCCGGAAGCAGTACGAGGCCTGCACCCCAGTCTCCGTCATACTGAGCTACCTACTGTGTGGCCTTGGGCAGGCGACGCATGCAGGACTCAAGGTCACCTTTCCCAGGAAGTGGCCATCAGGGAGTCCAGCCCTGGAAGGAGACAAGCTACCTGGCCAATCTCAGCCCCACCTCCCTGAGCCACAGGCAGTAATGTGATCAGAACATATGGTGTTGCCTGGATGGGGATGCACACTTGTAATCCCAGCACTTGGGAAGCCGAGGCAGGAGGATTTCCAGGAGTTCAAGGCACAATAGTGAGTCTGAGGTCAGCCTGGACTACATGGTGAGACCCTGTCTCAATATGATATATATCACAAATATAAATATATATTTTAAATATAAATAAATATAAAGCGTGTGTATATATATATATATATATATAGTGCTTAAATTGAAATACATGGTGACTGCAGAGTTAGTGAGGCCATGGGATCCAAATTCATGAAGCAGTGGTTACCAACTCATCACATCAAAACACAGCCCATCAACCCCAGTGACACGACTCATCCACATCTCAGGGGCCATTCCATCATCAGGGTCAGGGTCATTTGGAGTAAACAGGCATCGGGCTTGATGTGGGTAAACATTCTCAGCTATGTCCAGTCTCCTAGTGACTTCTGAGCCTCATTTGGAGCGGGGGCTCCCCAACTCTATAACTGGAGTCAGACCCAGAGACACCGCCCAGAGGCTTAGGCAGAGAAGAGCTCGGAGCTCGCTGGCTGTGCTGCCGAGCAGTGCCTCAGGGCAGAGGTCTCAGGAAGCCAGTGGTGGTCACTCCGCTGACTGAGGGACTGGGGGCTGGGCACCTCTCAGCAGATACCTTCCCGTCTCCAGCCAGACCCCAGCATTTCCCACATGGTGTAGGGGCCCTGTCAGAGCTGCTCACACAGGCGGGCTCAGCTCCCGGGCTGCAGGGTTCCCCTGGCGTAGACCCAGTGTGTGAGTGCGGTCAGTGATCCTGAGAAGCTGCCTGCAGAGACCTCCTGGGAAGACACTTCCCTGTCCCACAGCGATGATCAGGGAGACCAGTTCTGCCTCTATGAGGAACAGAGTGACTGCTGGCAGCCACTCGGACACCAGAGGAGGCGCAGCCTCAAGACAAGCGAACACTGCTGAGAGACAAGCGGGCAGGCAGATAGGCCTGCGTCCTTGGATTACTGAGGGCTTCATCAAGCCTCTCCTAAATTTCAAGCTACCCTCAGAACTTTGATTAAATAAATCTATAAATTATCTTCAGGCACAGCTTGGCTTCAGGAGCTGAAAACAGCACATTCAGTCCTTCTTTCCCCTCTACCACAGGGTTTTCTTTTTCCAACCCTGGGGACAGAACCCAGGGTTTTGTCACCACGCTTAGCCCCACCCCTCCCGTGTGTGTGTGTGTGTGGGTGGGTGTGGGTGTGTGTGAGAGAGACAGAGACAGAGACAGAGACAGAGACAGAGGTGGAGCCTCCCTGAGTTGCTAAGTTGCCCAGGCTGGGCTCAGACTTGCAGCCCTGCCTCGGCCTTCCCAAGCGCTGGCTGTGCAGCTTCCATCACACCAGCTTACAGATGGCTCTGCTGCTGCCCCTCACTGTGGCAATGTGGCTGCCAGTAGTTCTAGGCCTTCCCCTTCCCATGTTCTAGTTCAAAAAGAAAGAAAGCATTGCTTCCCCGAATTTCCCTCTTGAGTGCTAGGATTCACTAATTAAATCAGCCTGCTGGGAGGCCTACCATGCACCCACAGCTGTGGCCTGAGAGGCAGCACAGCCTGCTGAGAACCTATGATCTGAGAATCGGTACAGGGGCCACGTTCTGAAAGCTACTGCGTCGAAGTAACAAGGAGGAGGCAAGTGGCTGCGGGACAGCAAAGGCCACAGTCAGGGCCACAGCACCACTTCCCCAGCCTGGAGGACTCACCCAGCTGGCTGCACACCAAGCTCCCAAGAAGGAGTCAGCGTGCGAGGGATGTCCACACAACCCATAGCTTTCCTGAGGCTCCACCTCAACCAGCCTCTCCCGCAGCCAGCCTGGAAACCGATGACCCCTGAAACGGTGCCTCCAAACCTGCGTCCGGAGGCTCCTGGGCTCTGGGCACCTCGTAGCACCTGCCTTGACCTGGATCTTTTCCACCCCTGCCTCTCCTCTCGTGCTGGCCTGGAACAAGCTGTCAGCCATTCCCCTGGTCGCTCCCAAGGTTCTCTGCTATCTTTCTGCAACCTTAATCAAGCTCCTTATCAAATAACCAGGCAGCTGAAGCTAATGGAGAGCCCCCAGCAGCACCCTCAGCCAGTTCCTACTTCCCCCACCGGATCTTGTGCCTGTCCACACCCCAAGACCCCTGTGCAAGTTCAGGCCCAGAGGAACTTTCCTCTCCGCTGCCCCGCCCCTCAGTCTCCACCCGGCCAGCCTTGTAGGGGAAACTCTGACCCCAGAGGCTTTGCTGTACGCAGGAACTGTCCCCCGGCTGCCCAGGAAAGGGTTAATGAGATTGGCTGTCACCAAGATGTACCCACCCCCAGGCTCCGGATGAAGATAGAAATGGTATTTATGATTTCTCCCCAACGTTTCTGGAAAGGATTTAAGGTGCTTACAAGGATACACATATATAACAAGATTGCATAAATTAAATGTGGGAGCAAAAAAAAGAACGAAAAACAAGGATGGAGACATAGCGAGAGCAAGGAAGGAGGCTAACGTGGAAACACCACCACGAGCTTTGTGCTGCGGGGGAGGGGGCGTGCTCCAGAGCCCTCTGCAGCAGCCTGGGCCTTGGGGACATTAAAACACACACAAGACCACCCGGGAGACCTCCCGGCAATGCCAGGAGTATCTCTCAAGGGACCCAAAGCCAAGAACAGGGGAGGGGGATGGGCCTTGAGAGGCAGGCACGCGGAAGGGACAGAGATGTCAGAACCACTGTGGTGTGGCCAGAGGGGCGGTGCAGCTGCCCTACGCTGGGCAGGTGCTGGCCTGGCGTTCTGGCCTCCAGATGAGCTCGGGGCAGCCCAGCCTCTCCAGTCTCCGCTCATCGCACTCCACCCACAGCCTCCCACCACTGCGTGGTCACCACCTGGCCCCCTGCAGGAGATTTCTAGACCCAGCATATCCCATCAGCTCCTTCTTGCCCCCAACTCTTCGCTGCCTCATACCTTTAGTCACAGCATTTATCAAGCTGCTGGTGAGTGTAGCCGGGGGATGTGAAGATTGCACAGGAAAAGAGACGTTTGAACCAGAGTCTCCTGGCCTCATTGATATCTGACCCATGTGCCTCAGGAGAGCCTGGCTGTCACAGGCGAGGCCCTGGAGGGCCCACGGTTCAGAGACACTGTCGAGGAAAGGTTCCGGGTGGTAGGGCAGCAGTGTGGGCAGCACACACTCACCATGAAGACTGCCAAACACACGGGGACTGTGGGACAAGTGAAGTCTCTACTGTCAACAGCAGGTTAGGTAGAAGGAGGACACAGGACCACTTGGACCTTAATGCAAAGTAACTTCATCAATACCCCCAGGTCCACAGGGAATTGGACAGACCAACTGCACATGAACAAGTCTACTTTAATGGCATCTGATATGTTTTGCTTTGCTTTCTTATTAAAATGTATACACTTGGGGCTGGAGATTTAGCTCAGTGGCATAAGCGCCTGCCTTGTAAGCAGGCAGTGGCGAGTTCGATCCTCGGTACCGCTAAAAAGGAAAAAGACAAAAAAAAAAAAAACAGTAAAATGTATACACTTTCAGTACAAAATGTAACAATTTTAAAATGCAAAGTCAAAAATTAGCCCCAATTCTACCATTTTTTGTGGTTATTGGTGTTTTGGAAAACTGCCTGAAAACCTCTATGGCCAGTTGGGTGTGGTAGTGTATTCCTGTAATCTCAGTACTCTCGGAGATGGAGGCAGGAGAATCACAAGTTTGAGTCCAGTCTGCACCACTTGGTAACTCAGAGAGACCCTGTCTCAAAATTTTAAAAATGTAGAGATATAGCTCAGTGTAAAGGTCCTGGGTTCAATTTCCTGTACCTGGAAAACAAAAATAAAAGACCCTATGGCCAAAGTCAGGATTTTAAAAAGACCAACGAAGAGGGATGGATCTGTAATTCATACCACTGACAAGGAGCTGGTTTCCTAACATACAAATAGATCCTAGAAATCATATGAAGGAGATAGGATTAAAATAGGTGACCGAAATAACATAGAAGCTGAAGGAAAGTAGGGTAAACAGTATGTACCTTTTCTATGGGTTTCTGTCATTCATGAAGATGAGTTTCAGTTAAGCTGTAGGCTTTCCTAAGTTAAGAACTTGTGTAATGATTTCAAGGCTGGCCACTAAAATGACAGGACCCTCCCAGAATTCAGAACAGTGACCATTACAGGAGAAGAGGAAGTCGGGTCCTGAGATGAAGCACACAGGGCAGATGAGTTCCGGCGTGTTGGGCAATTTAATGTGCCTCTCAGAACTGTGTTGTTTCAGTTTTTTAAAGAATATTAAGAGATGCCCAACTCATTCACAGTGAGTGAACAAATGTGCTATTTTTTTAAGGACTGAAACCTTGAGAAGACGCTGAGTTGGCAAGGACATGGAAAAGACCGAGTGGCAATGCTCCTGACGGGAAGTGCACGCACCTCCCCTGCAGCTGCTTCAGTCACTCGACTCGGGTCCCCAGAGCCCAAGCGTCCCCTCCCTCAGGGTCTCATTCTGTAACCAGCACCACCCATGTGTACACTGCCTTGCACAAAAATTGCCCCCTGCAGGAGGGAACAACACAGCACTCATTGTTAAATACGTCCATCCCACTGGTGAGAACATCAAAACGCCTGGGCGCTCAGGCCTCTACCTATAACCTATGCCTGATTCCTGTATACTGTAAGTCGTTTCAAAATTACTTAATACTTAGTAGAATGTGAGTGCTAGCTAAGAATACTATATCGAGTAGGAAAATATGACAAGAAAAATCTGTGCATGTTTAGTACAAATGTAATTTTTCCCCAAATACTGTAACTTTATCCAAAGTTGGTTAAATCCACAAACCTGAAACCTGTAGACACAGAAAGCCAACTGTATGACATTTCCAAGTGGAATATTACACTGCCACAAAAACACTTTTCTGGGTCTGGTGTGCAACTACAGTCATGACTGCAGTCATGAAGTGAAAAGCAAGTGAAGGAAAGGAAACAGCAGCACACACAGTGAGCTAACAGCTCCATGAAAGCAGTCGTGGAGGAGGAATTATGTGCACCCCTGTCTAGAGAATCATAGAACTTCTAAAACAAAGCATCCCTAGAAGGCTATGCCAGAAACTGACAACACTGGTTCTGATGGCCTACCAGCGATAGTTAGCACTGTTTTTTACTATATACTCTTTCATGAAAGTAAATATTCAAAAATACAAGCAGAGCCAGGGCAAAAGCAGTGGCACACACCTGTAATCTAGGAGGCTCAAATGGAAGGAACACAAGTTTGAGTTCAGTCTTAGAACAGGGATTCCCTAAGACCATGTCCCGCACTTTAAAACAGGCAAAGGGCCCGAAGATGTAACTCAGCGCGAAGCCCAGTACAGAAAGAAAGAAACAAAGCAGAAAGTCAGTCATGATGAAAATGTGCCGCGGCCCAGCCACCCCTCTGGTGACAAAATTTTCAAGCAGGCTGTAGAAAGGAAAGAGGACAACAGCAGATCGGAGTACATTTTTGTTTGGGGTGTGCCCTCGCCCCCAGGAAGAATGGAGTTGGGACCTGCTCGGGCCACCTCCTCCCGGACACCAGAATCCTTTGCTCATCTAAAGGGACAAGGGATATGACGCCTGCTCTCCAGGGCAACAGGCTGCCTGGCCAGGGGCAGGAGAGGGTGCAGCAGTGGCCAGTCCGAGAGGTGCGTCCCCGCATAGTGTCCGCCTGCACCTCGGCGTGGTGCTCAGCAGTCTTGCGCAGGTTTTCACTAATCCTTTGAACAGGAAAACCGGTGACTTTTTCACAAGTTCAAAGTGTATTTAGGTTAAAAGAAGAATAAATAGAAGTGAAAAGAGGAGAGAAAATATGCCTTCCACAAAAAGCAAACCACCGCAAGAGAAAGAAAACAGGCCGCCGCCATCTTCCGTACGGCGCTCTGACGTCAGATCCGGGCTCTGGAAAGCTGTTCTACGCATGCGTGTCGGCCATGCTTTCCCAGCTCTCCACAATGGATCGGTCACGCCCTGTTGTCCAGGTCTTTGCCATGTGTGACCTCCACAATTTGAGCAAATAAAGAGCAAAGTTTGCAAAGTTTGCAGCCACGACAGGAGTGAGGCCATGCCTCAGCAAAGCAACTCCCCGTGGGGTATGAGTAAGAGAGGCGGCCACTGCGCAGGCGCACCCTGCATTCGTGTGTATAAAACTTGGCTCATTTTGTTCACGCTGTTTTATAGGCTCCTTTTTCCACTTTACAGTTTATCGGGAATGTTTTCTCACATCAGTAACTACTTTTTTACTGCCTGGTTTTTAACGATCGAAGTTTACTCAATCAAGTCACTGTGAAATGCTGAGATTTTTTTCACTACCATAATTAAGGCTTTGAAAGAACAACTAAGTCGTGGTGCCCAGCACTAACTGTATCCTTAGGAAAGTACCCTAGACCCTTCTGGTTTAAACACATACACACTTTGTAGTTTTTTCATGCGTGGCACTACGTTGCCTTTAAAAATCTTTGACCCAGTTTATGCTGGTGAGGTCAGTTTCCTATCTGCCTTCCAAAACTAGATGCCCTTGTGGTTTCATCCTTACCTATTTAATATAGGAGAATGGGTCTCATGCTAGCTTTAGTCTGCATCCTTTGATGAGTACTCAGGTTAAGTCTTTCTCATGTGGTTCTTTTTCTCGTTTTCGTTTCTAACACAAATCGCCTGTGTCCCCTGCACCCACCCAGCCTCTGCCTGCGCCCTCTTTGGTCAGCCCTTCCTCATATACCCACAGCTGTCAAGATTCTACTCATCTTTCAAGTTCTAGGTCAAGTCCCCCACCTCAGCCTTCCCTCCAGGGAGTCATTCCTGCGTCTCACCAGTCTTGGTCCTGATCCAGTGGTCACATTTGCATGCCTGGACCACTGCTGCCTCTACCAGCAGTTCACTTCACTCCGCAGTCCCAAGTCTTGGCCACTGACCCCACATACCAGGTCCAGGTCAACAACATGTACAGGGCACCTGCTATCCATCCAGGGCTCTCAGAAC